AAACACACAAACAAACAAACAAACAAACAACCAAAATACACGCCTACATTTATCAGATAAATTTGTATTCGGAACGTCAAAATTAAAAGTATACTTCTTCCCACTCCTTTTTTGATTTAAGGCTGTAACTTATACATGAATCTCAGTTTGTTTTTAGTGTTTGTATTGCGCTCTGTCACAGCCACTTCCTTTGCGCTGATGAAGCATTCCAGCACATGGGGTTACTTCAGGTCATGTTGAGCTCGTGCCTTCAGTGTATAGCAGCAACTGTAAATCCCCCAGACGTCTGTGGTGATTGGTTTAGCAGGAATCATCTGTTATTGGAGGAGGAGGAACTAAAATAGGGGCTCAGCCAAGTAAAAAAGAAATCCGTTAGCCACCTTCAAACACAATGAAGAAAACTTAATGAAGCTGGAAGAGAAATTTTTAACTCTCGATAACTGAGGCGAGCGTTTTCCCACATGGTTCTGGCCTGTGTGACACATTTCCTGCGAACCAAACTGTGAACCAGCTTCTCTCAGCGAAGGTTTTAGTCTTTCGTAGAACACTGTTTCTTCTCACAGGATGCTGTAGGTGGAGGGAACAGCACATGTAAAGGTTTAAAGTACACTTCTACCTTAAAACCCTGCAGGTAGTTAAAAAAAAAAAAGAAGTACTGAAAAATACAATAGAAAAGGTTGTGGTTGGGCTCAATATGGAAGTATTTTATATCCAAGTCTATCAATGATCACAGTCCCTTCTATGATCTATATCTTGACCTCCAATGCGCTCTCACTATGTATCAATACAGTTTGTTTTTCTGGCATTGTATTTTACTTCCCCTTATATCTATATTTCATCATCCTCTACACTGCTACTTATAGGCCTCTGTCTTACAGGAGCTGGTTTTATGGCTTAAAGACTTTATTAATTACTTGTAGCTCTGTAGTTATGCCTGAAACTCCCATGTTAGCCAGTGATGAGACATGTGACGGTCATGGTGTTTGGACCAGTTTCATAAATGTGGACTGTAAATGTGAGCAATCCTAAAAGAGTCCAACTTCAGATTTCTAATATCTTTTAAGTCCTAATCAGATAAAACCTAAACTATCTTCATGGCTGGATACTGTGATGGACATGCGGCTCTGTTTTCTTCGTAACGTGTGAACTTTCCGTTATTAACAGGGCAACAGTTAGACGTCTCATTGTGTCTGTTTGTAAGTGAGGCTACACTACCATCTGCTGTCAGACAGTCAGCACAGGAGAGAATCTGCATACTGCAGTCAGGGGTACTTGGAACAGGATGCTCATGAAGTTTCACAAAGCATAGCTCTAAATTTAACTAGACTGAGATGCATATTCTGTAGAACCTTTCTGAGCCTTGTCTTTGAACATAGTTACACAGAAAACCCATCACTGTCATTCAGTTTTCACCCACACACTCCTTCATATGAGGGAATTTGATATCATGACCTGTTCTATACATTATTCAGGCGTACACATGCTGCCTCTCTTCACTCTTCTTGTTGGACTTTTACATGTCTTGTGTCACAGTGGATTGATTGCTTTTTATGTATTTAATTACATTTACAACAGGAAATTTCATATTGTGAACACACGTTGAGGATTAAGCTCATTTATGGTCTTGTTTTGAACAAAAAAACACAAAGGCCTGAACACTGAGACAAACCAGTGATGTTGCACAGGAACAGTCGACTGTTTAACCTGTCAGCTTGACCCTCAACACGAATCACCGAAACTCCTGCTTGGATGATTAACCCCAAAGTGCAGCATTAGTTATAGCAAGAAAAAATATCCAAATACCTTCATTGAAGTGGTCTTTTGTGAGAGATGGAATGTTTTTGGAAGATAATAACTTGAAGTTTCTAATTAATAACTTGATTATTTTAGCTAAGCATTACTTACATAGATGCATGTAAAGTTAGGCCCCAGATACAGGGATGGATAAATGACATGAAACTTGACCATAAGTCACTAAAAAGTATGACAGCATGCAAAGCCCTAAATCTTTATGATTTATGCGATTATTATAAGTTACCATAAGAAAGCCACTCACACCTTATTCTTTGTTTTACGTTGTTGTGGTTTCCTGTTTGTTCATCATGGAATAATGCTACCTCCAACCTATTTCTTCCTATAGCACAGACAATGCCTAATTAGATTATTTTATGGTAATTTTGATATGACTTTGATTGTATTTGCTATAGTTTCTAAATAAAAAAAAATAATAATAAAAAAAAACTTTCTGTGCGTGCGCGTTCCTGTGTCAGGCACCTGACCTGCGCGCGTGTCCGAGAGAGAACGAAGCGCGGGCATAGAGCGGCAGGGCGCGTCTTCAGCTGTGGATTTTTAAAAAGAAGAAGCCTTATTTTAATTCTGGTGTTTTTATATTGTTGTTGTTTGCGGCTACCAACTCACACGAACCTCCATCTGCAGTTCAGCCTTTTTGAAGTTTGAATGACGGAAACGAAGTTAGCAGCTCAGTGTGAACACAGCGATGCTAACAGCTAATGTTAGCTTGATGCCCGCCGAGGATTTCTGCTAAAAAAAAAAAAAGACAACTTGGTTTTTACTAAGTTCGTTCACTGTCACCGCTTTTCAGGTAACGTAAGAACAAGATGTAAGTTGCGGTATTATAACTTTACTAACCCGAATGCAACTTCCAAGTTTGTCAGTCGTAGCGTATTAAAGCGTATTAGATGTTTAGCCTTTAGCTAACGTTAGCTACGAACGTGTTGCTGCATTGAGGGCAGCGATTTAGTGACGCAACTTTCTCTTAGAAACTTTTGTCATAAAAAGTTAAAATTTGGTGGCGATATATGCGTCGTGTGCTGCAGTTCACGTCTGTATATGCATGCAGTACTATAAGGTGCTTTTCCTCCCCCTGTCTTTTTTTAAGTAATGGCATTTTGATAGGCCACTTAGTTCATCAAAACTCACCACATAAGACGTTGTTTTTATTCAAATCACGCTGACATTTGGTGTCTTTGGAATTGATTTGTTTTGTATTTTTGACTTTGGTGTAAACCTATCTTGTGGGTTTGAGCAAAGCTTGGCTGCACAGTAGATGTTGGTGAAGTATGAGTTGGGATAGTGTGTCATGTAACTGGACTTCAGTTAAGATTACTGGTGTAATTGCTTGTTATTGATGAAGTCTCCAGTGAATGAGACCTGTGAAAAAAGGGCAATCTAAACCAACAGAGTGGTCTGAGCGTGCATTAAAATGATATAATATTGAGGCCAGAGCATGCTAATAGTGGTAAAGTTACTGTGTTTGCTGTAGCAGTTAAGATGCATACCTCTTTGTCAGCACATGAGATGTTGACACTGCTTTATTAAGACAGTATGTTTAATCTCTTTCAGATATTTGGCTGTAACAGCAGCTCACTAGAAAAGAGGAGGTAGACGTGGCACCTGCAGTCCAGAGTGAGTAAAGAGCAAAAGCCATTTTTTAAAACTTGCACTGGTAGGTTCAGTTATTTGAGGGTTAATCTTGTTTAATTGTGTGTAGGATCTAATACTTTTGCTTTTGTAGAAATCCTTCTGTAGACATTACAGGTGGATAAAGGTAAAACATTTAACAAATAGATATTGCCCTGAAGTTCTGCTAGTTGATTATTAACATTGAGACAACTTGTTTTTCTGTTTCTGATTTTCTACTTTTTAATATTTAAATATTCAAATGAGGTGTTATTTATTAAAATATATGCAGATTTGCATCCATTTCTAAAACAGAAATCTGAACATTGGATAGAGCCAAGTTTATTTTTTTTTTGTTTTCTTTTGTAGACATAGTTTATTTACCAGAAGGGATATTGAGTCTCTTTTTATCACTCCATAAATGAGAAATAGCACCGCCAGAAAGTGATCAGATTTCACCATGTTGTTAGAAATATAATGTCAATGCAAGAACTCATCAGTAAAAATGGACTATTGATAGGAAAAAAACTTACAAGGTCAGTTTTGGTGTAAGTGCTACAGAAGTGAAGATATCTGGTTCAGAGTATGTATTTAGTATTTGTTATGTCACAATTTTACAGACGTACTTAACAGATTATTTATCTTACTTTTGAACAGACATGGATAAAGAACTAGACTCAAGAATGACATCCAGAAAGATCGATCCTCCCAAGTGGCCACACTTGAAACCTCTGTCTGACTACTCAAGGAGAGTCGCTTGTGACCAAAAGAGCAGTCCTTATCAACCAGGAAAGTTTTCTAATCCATTCATTAATTTAAAATTTGAGGTAGTTGACAACTGCACAAGTAAGAGGAAAATGGATGATTCCAGTGTTGATGATGGTTACGAGACTCCAGCAAAAAAGGCCTTTACTACAACGACTTCATCCCCAGACCTCGGCTGTTTCATGGACTATTGCAGCCCTCTCACCAGACAGGAGTCAGTTTCACCTTTTTCCACCTCTAGCCCTGCTTTGTTACCTAAGAAACAAGGTATTAAGAACGCTATGAAAGAAAATGTGAGCCCTCAGCTCCACCCAGAGCATGTCGAACGTGGATCTTCAACAGATCCGAGGGGTAAAGGGGAGACTGTGCCATCCAGTGTCCAGAATCAGAGGCTTCTGTTAAATCTTGGACGCGTCTTTGACAATGATGTTGATGGCATCTTCTCTCTCACTCCCTCTGACACTTCTAATGCTGCAAGATTTTCTAGCAATGTGGAGAGCTGCAGGAGTCCACCATGCAACTTACATCAAAATGTGACACACGGACAAGTGGATGAGAAAGGACACGGGCAAGTGCAAGAAGGACGAGAGCCGCTACAGAAAGACACGTGCCTCGATGTGGAAGAAGACAAAGGCTATTTATCTGTGTCTTCCATTAATGAGCATAAAATAGGAGCAAACACCCCTGACTCCGCACGCCCCCTGCTGCCTTCAACTACCTCTAGCCCCCTGCTTAGGACAAGTAAGGCAGAGCTGGCACAGGATACAGTTCATCCTAAAAGTTCATCAGAGCCACTGTGTCATGAACAAGCTGCGATGCGTGGACAGAGCACAGTGGACGACTTGTGTTCCTCTGTAAGTGGACCTCTGCTCGAGCCTTTGATCCTTCCTGTAGAATGTTTACAAGGTGAAGAAGAGATGCTGCATATTGGTCCTCCCATATTCGAGTCATCTGTGTGTGACAGTGACCCAGTTAAGTTAAACGCTACTAGTGAGCAGAATGGACAGGGATCAGAGGAGACGAAGGAAGATGTGAAAGATTCTGTCCACAACTATCAGGACACAACTTTGGATGGCAGCTCTTCAACTTCCTTACCTCTCCAAGTACAGGTAAGTTACCTGAGCTGCATAACCTCACCAGTTTCTGATGATGTGGTCCGACCTACACACATGCAGCCATGTTTGTTTACTGACCTCTTCTTGTACAGCATACAAGTGTGCCTACTGTATGCTCACATTCACAACCTCTGTTCTCTTTCAAGGTGAAATCTAAGGTGGTCATTCCCACCACCAGCAGCATACCAGTTCCTCCTCTTCCTCCAGGAGAGAACACTAAGCTGAAGGAGTCAAACCAAAACAAGGACAGAACTGTTCCCACTGCCAAACATGGGAAGAATCAAAGGTACTGCGTTGATGGCTGTGTCCTCTAGAGGGAGCAGTGTGACCACAGTGTGGAAGTTTTAACCATGGCTTAGTTGTTTTAAGAGCAACTGTATCTGTCCTTCATAAGCTTCATATGTCTGTCTTCATATCTGTCATCAGTGACTACAGGTCCATGTTAACTGTACAGGGTTTCACTTTGACGACATTTTTAGTTGGCTGTCTGAAACAAGACTTGTCCAGGCATCGTTGCATATAGTTAAGTGTGTTTGCAAAGTAATATTGTCTTTTTCAGGGTTGTAGTCTTGAACCGACAGGTCGACTGGGAGTATAAGAAAAATCAGTACGTCCATTCAGTTACCCAACACTTGACTGAGAATCCAGGAGCAAATCACGGTAGGAACATGATGTCCAAAAGAGGGAGGGGAAACACCCTTTAAGTATTTGATTATTTTGGTAGTATTTTATTCATGTTTTTCTTCCCTTATTTGCAGTTCATCATAGTCAATGTTTATTTAATGTTGTCTGCTGGTTGTTGACTGTGCTGATGTTGTTCTCTCTTGCCATGAGTTGCCCCAGGAGGAATGAATGAAGTATTTGGCCGATTGATTGATTAATTGATTGGAACCTGAGTGACACAAGAAACAGTAGAGAACTTCAGTGAGAGAAGCTTTTGTGGGATTTTTCATTATAACGCAGTGCTTTGCTGTGGTGTGAGTGTAGGGCTGCAGAACAACACATAAAATCTACATCACGATAATGTGACCATGAATGGCATTTGTGTCTTTCCATCTACAGTCATCAGGGGTCTTTTACTGGACCGTCTCCGATTTGCTGGAAACTTATTTTTTAAATCATAAACTACGGATATTTAAAATGATATCTATCTACTGTCTAAAATATAGATTTAAAAAAAACAAACTGCTCTTCGACCCACTTTCGGCCGCTTTTCTCTGGCGTTGGAATTTGAGGCTCTGTTTGAACAACAGTGTTCTCAGGAACTTTGTGTTTTGTCAAGGTGTGATGTCTGAGCTGCTGAGCCTGATGAGCCATGTGGCCGACCAGACAACCGGTTCTAATGGCACACAGTGGCAGCATCCATCTGACCTCACCCGCAGGTACGGCGTTCTTCATTTCTTTTTAAGTAGGTCAAAGTGTGTTACTTTGTTTCTTTGTCAGGAGGTGAAAGTTTGTTTAACCAATACAGAATACACGACTTAAGATCTGTGCTTGCTTTTAGAAATTACCAAAGACGTTTTGGCAACGCAGCACCAAGTATGATGCTTCATGACTGGAAGGCCAAGAATTCACCAACTCAAAAGCGCTTTGCCAAAGTGCCCAAAATTTTTGCACGAACCCCGTTTCCTTAAGCCGGGACTTGTGAATGGACAGAAAAATGCACTTATGTGTGTGTGTATGCAAAAAAATCTACACTACAATTAATATTATGCTTTATATAAATGATGGCACTGTTCATTTTTTCCCTTCTTGTGGTGTTCATTTTGGGTGTGTGGTCGTTTGATTGTTGCGTTTTGTTTGTCTTTCAACTATGCATGTACCTTTAAATCTAAAACTTAATGTTTGCACTGCTTTTTTTGTTAGTTTGAAAGCTGCTCTGTTTTTCTTTCAACTCTACAAGTACCTTTTATATACAAACTGCATGATGCATGTTTTAAGAATTGATATATATATAAAAAAAAAAGCACTGAAGTGCTTCAAGAGTCTGAAATGACTTCTTAAAATAATTGTAACTGTGCCTTTATAAAGTGTGTTTTGAAGTTCTGTCAGTGCTTTTGCAACGTGAATTGTTCTGTTTTGGTGTTGTCATGTTCACTCTGCATATAATCAATCCAGTGAGTTTCTCATATGTTTGTGCTGATTATTGCCTCTTGGGCTGATAATGGCCTCACGTTTTTCTGTTGATGACAGTGACAGTCATGTAGAATACTTCATCAAAGTGGATTGATTGTGCTTCTTTTGTAGGACTGGTGACAGATTGTGTTTCAAACCTTTTTGCATTTGAAGCCGTTTTTCTGGAACAATGGTTCCCAGCCTACACCTGAAAGCTGATAGGACAAGATTCCAAAAACAAATGGCTTTAAATCCACTGCTTGTCCCCGGACTTTATGTATTTCATGGTCAGACCATAATGAGACTGTATTTGACAGTAATACGTTTTAATGAAGAATTACTTCACTAACAGGCAATAAGATGATTTTAGTCGTGATGTGAGCAGTGATAAACCTTCCTCTGTGTATTTGAGGATAATCACTTGTGACCAATGGGCCCATCAACATCATCTGAGAAAGTCAGCATATCCATTCATATACTTTTAAAATGAGATAGCGAACCATCACTCCATTGTCTGTCCAGATTGTCTGTCTGTCCCCTACCGCCGCCCTAAGTCACCTGGGATAGGCTCCAGCCCCCCCTGTGACCTTAGTGGGGATTAAGTGATGTATAGATGAAGGATGGATGGACAATCACTCCACAGAGATGAAGTCTTTTGAGCTTTCTGACGTTTGGTTTCTGTTTGGATTTCAAAAAAAATCCTTCAACTTAAGTTTGATACATTTCAGTTGAAAGTAAAGTTGTTTCAGATAGTTAAGTCTCACCGTTCTGTCTCAACAGCTTCAGGTTACCACAGTTACTGTTCTTTCATTTGCATCTTTAGTCTGAATGCAGGAGGAGTTTTGCAAGTCTCTGTACTTCCCCTCATGTGACTGTACCTCCTATTAATAAAGTTACACATTCACAACAGCACTTGTCATTGTTTTAACATGAGTGTCAGGATCAAGCCCACTTGTGGTCTTTTTCTAGCTAAAAACACAAGGGCTTGACTGTTAACCACTATTTAGTTTGTACAGTAATAGTTTTATCTCCATCCTTTACTACTTTACTGACCCTCATCATGAATCCTGAACCACCTCAATTCTGGCTGAGATGTTTGAACTTCAAAGTGCAACTTGAGCTTCGGTCCGAAGAAAGAAATGTTCAAAAACACAAGGATAAAGTTAATAATGCAGTACAGTAAGAGTCAGATAAAATCAATGTAACACCTGGGAACCATGAGAAACTCAGTGATCGTTTTTTTCTGTTTTCTCGACCTGCTAAAGGAGACCAATTACTGGAGCAGCTCATCTCAGTGAAAATAATGAGACTCAATTCTAGTTTGTCAAGTTCAAGAGAAAATATGATCTCATTAATAACAGGATTTAGAAGTACTTTATGCTCAAAAAACTGGACACTCAGTTACACTGGAGACCAAGTCAGTGAATTAAAAACTGATCTGAGCTTTATCAACCTTTCTGTGCGCGTGCCTGTTTCAGCATCTGCGCGTGTCCGAGAACGAGTTCGCGGGCACAGAGCGGGAGGCCGCGTTTACAGCTGCTGATATTTTAAAGAAGGAGAATTTATTTTAAGGCTGGAGTTTTTATTTTTGTTTTACTTTTTTATCCTTTGCTGCTACCAGCACACCTGAACCTCCAGTTCAGCCGTTGTGAAGTCTGACGAACTGAAACGAAGTTAGCAGCTCAGTGTGAACACAGCTAATGCTCACAGCTAATGCTAACAGCTAATGCTAGCTTGCTGTCCGCCGAGGATTTCTGCTGGGAAAAAAAAGACACTTTCGGTATTTATTCAGTTTGTTCGGTGTCACCGTTTTTCAGGTAAGGTCAAAACAGGATGTCGTTTGCCGTTTTACAGCTTTATGAGCTAAATGCAACTTGAAGTTTATCTGCCACAAAGTGTATGAAATGTTTAGGCTTAAGCTAACATTAGCAACATGAGAGCTGTTAGCTTCATCTCAGAAACTTTATTTATAAATGTAAACTCAGCGACAAAATCGACTCTATATTTTGCACTACAGTCGTCCTCAAATGTATTCATACCCTTTCATTAAAGAAAAGGCAAAATTCACAATACTCACTTTAATAACTAGAAACTGACAAAAGTAATAATAAATAAAAAAATTGCTAAATTATAATTGAGTGAAATAAGACATTTCTTTTGAATTGTGGTTGAAAAGAACAATTCAAAAATAACAACAAACAAAACTGTCCTGGACAAATTAGAGCACTTTGCTGATGAGCAGTGGGCCAAAATGAAAATACCTGTCAACAGGTGCAGAAGTCTGACTGAGAGTTACAGGAAACACTTGATTGCAGTGATTGGCTCAAAGAGTTGTTCAACAAAATATTAGTTTATGGGTCCCATCATGCTTGTTTTTTTTTTATTTAGTAATAAATAAAAAAATAATAAAAATCATGACATTGCTTTGGAATTGTGCTTTGATATTTCTGTTCAATATTTCCGTTGAACCACTATTCCAAAGCAGTGTCATGATTTTTATTATTATTTTTATTTATTACTACTTTCGTCAATTTCAGCTTATTTCAGTGACAGCTGTTTTTTTCCTTCTTTATTGGGAAGGTATGAATACATTTGAGGACGACTGTATATACATTTTATATAATTATTGTAACTTGTGCTGCTCCTCTTGACAACCAATCCTGTTTTCATCGACAGCATTACATTTGGCAGATCATTTAATTTATGAAAACTCACTACATAAATGTAAAGTTACTACTAGTTTACTTCAGAGTAAACACTACACTGATGTACGTTTCCATCTCAGCACATTAGCCTTTTTTGTGCAGCAATAAAAATGCATTCTTTTTTAGTAGAGATATTGACACTGTATGTTTCATCTCTTTCAGATATTTGACTTTGACAGCAGCTCACTAGAAAAGAGGAAGTGGACCTGGCACCTACAGTCCCGAGTGAATAAAGAGCAAATGCTGTCTTTCAAACTTGGCTTTGAAAGACAGCATAGGAATTCTGTTATTTGATGATGTAATACTTTTGCTTTTATTGAAATACTTCTCTATCGTAATAAAATGACATTTTGAATTTAAGGGGAGACACTAGAGGTGAACAAGTGTAAAAACATCTAATTAGTTGATATGACCATGAAATTTCTGTACTTTCTTGCTTGTAGTGAAAAAGTCATTTTTATTTTTATTTAAAATTTTTTTTTTAATTAAGCACATGAGGTATTATCTATCAAAATATGTGCAAATTTGCTTTCATTTCTCAAACAGAAATCTCATCAGTGGACAAAGACGGGGTCCATTTTTTGTGCTACCTTTTGTAGATGTATTAGAGTCAGGTTTTTATACATTGGAGTTTGAATACCTTGTCTTGTTTTGTCACTTCATAAATCAAAAAATACTGTCAGCAGCTAGAAAACCACAAATTTTCCTCATTTTGTTGGGAATCCAATGTTCTATAAAGCAGGCTGTGAATGACAGATGAACAGACCGCTCAGTTAAGGCTTTTAAAATTAAATTAGAAGGAAATAAATTGAATGTTGAATCCATAGAAGTAATTATTTTTGGCTCAGAATATGAGAAAATGTAGTTATTGATCTCATTATGTAGTCTTGTTAATTATGTGCCATTTTAGATATGTGTAGCCTGCTTCTGTCTGCTGGTGTTGTTTGCCCACATACCTTGATGGTTGATGGGTCCAGATCTATCTATCTATCTATCTATCTATCTATCTATCTATCTATCTATCTATCTATCTATCTATCTATCTATCTATCTATCTAAAATGTTATTTATAGCTAAAAATGGATGGTTACTTATATTAAGGCAATTAAATAACACCTAAATAAATGTGTTTTTCTGATGTTTTCCCTCCCCTTATTTAAAACAAGACCTCCTGTGTAGTCTTACAAAATAGCTGAAATTCTCAAATATGCTTTTGCTTGTGCCTCAACTAGAAAATCTAAATATTTTTTTATAACATTTTGTCCGTCAGTTTGAACATTACCAGTTTTTGGTATTTGCTAAAACGGGTCATTAACAGATGTTGTGATTTTTCTTTTTTTACAGACATGGAGAACAACCTAACCTCAGGAATCATGACATACAGAAGACAGAATCCTCTCAAATGGCCACAATCACCTCTTTCTGTCTGTTCAAGGCTTTTCACTTGTGACCAAAATGCTAATCTTGATATCTCTGGTAAGTTATTTAATTCATTTGATCATTTTAAAATTCAGATGGCGAACAGTTTTACTTGTAAAAGGAAAATTGATCATTTCAGTCAGAGTTATGGTTTTGAGACTAAGCCCTTGTCCCCAGACCTTGGATGTGTCATGGACTACTGCAGCCCTCTGAGCAGATGGAAGCCGATGTCCCCTTTAACAGATTCTTTCCAGGACTGTCTGGACACAACGTGGGACAGCAGCTCTCCAATGACATTAACTCACCGTGAACAGGTAAGTTGCCTCAGCTGTATTGCTTCACCTGGTTCTAATGATGTGGCCCAACACTTGTAGTCATGTTTGTTTACTGACCAATCACTGTGCTTTATCAATGTGCAATCTAAGTTGGTCGGTCAGTACACCACCATCAGCAAGCAAGAAACCTGTCTTCCTCCAGAGAAGTACCTGAAGGACGACAGAACTGCCAAAGATGTCCAGAGTCGAAGGTACTGTAGTCTACTGTCACCTCTAGAGGGAGCAGTGTGACCACACAGTGGGGCTTAGTGGTTCTAAGAGCAACTGCACCTGTCCTTTATAAGCTTAATATTTCTGTCTGTCTACATTTCTGTCGTCAGTGACTATAGGTCCATATTAACTGAACAGGGTTTTACTTGAATGAAATTCACAGATGGCTGTCTGAAGCATGACCTGTCCAGGTATCAGCTAGCAGTTTGGTGTGTTTAGTATAGTGATGTTGTTTTTAATCAGGGCTGTGATCTGGACTAGGGCCACATTAACTGCATTGATTGTTTTCATTGAACGCTGTCTAAAGCTTGACATGTCTCGGTATGGCTCAGTGGAGTTACGTGTGTTTGTAAAGTGATGCTGTCTTTTTCAGGCCTGCGATCTTAAACCCAGAGGTGGACTGGGAGCTTGAAAAAAATCTGTACGTCCGTTCAGTTAACCAACACATGGCTGAGAGTCCAGGAGGAATTCATGGTAGGAACCTGTTGTTCAAAAGAAAGAGGGAAAACAAACCGACTTTAAATAATTAATTCTTTTAGTAGTATTTTATGTATGTTTTTCTTCTCTGGTTTGCAGTTCCTTATTAATGTTTATTTAATGCTGTCTGCTGATTGTCGACTGTGCTGATGTTGCTGACTGATGAATTAAGTATTTGATTGACTGCTTGATTGACTGGATCCTGAGTGCTACAAGAAACAGTAAAGAACTACACTGAGCGAGCCTTTTATGGGGTGTTTTTATTATGATGGAGTGCTTTGATTGCTGATGTGAGTGTCGGGCTGCAGGACATCATCTAAAGTCTGCATCATGGTCATTTATGTTTTGTAACCATGAATAGCATTCCCTTTGCGTGGTCCCATATTCTTGAGGTTTTGAAAGGCATGTGTCTTCTCGCTCTGGACCATCAGTGTTAATGTTTGTTTCTTTCTGTGTTTTGTGAAGATGTCATGTCTGAGCTGCTGAGCCTGATGATCCACGTGGCCGACCAGACAAGCGGCTCTCATGGGACACAGTGGCAGCATCCATCTGACCTCACCCGCAGGTACGGCGTTCTTCATTTCTTTTTAAGTAGGTCAAAGTGTGTTAGTTTAATGCGCAATTTAGGATCTGTGCTTACTTTTAGAAATCACCAGCGACGTGTTCGTAAACAACGAGTGACTCTTCATGAGTGGCGAGCCAGAAACTTTCCAACATATAAGCGATTTGCCAATGTGCCAAAGGTTTTCAAAAGGAATCCGTTTCCATAAATCAGGACTCTTGTATGGACTTAACAACTTGCACTTTCTTTACCCAGTTGTGTCAGTGAACACAGAAAATCTATGTTGTAGTTGTTTTATATAGTTGTTTCAAACTTTTTATTTTTGGTATTTATTTTGTGTTTAACCGTTGCTTTGGTTGTTCTTTGAACTCTGCATTCATTTTTAGAGCTTGATAGTTCAACATTTTTTCTCTATTGTCGAAAATTCCAGACCAAACAACTAATCGATTAAGCAGGAGTTTAATAACAATGAAAATAAATATTTGTTGCAGCTCTAATGTTTCTTCCCACTTTGTCCGTTTTGTGTGTGTGTACACGAGCGTGAACGTGCACAGGACACGCTGGAGTCGTGTTGTGTGGATTCGTCTGAGCCACTTTGTGTGTTTCCTGTTTACAAAGCCAGGGCTGTGCACAACAAAAATCTTTTTTTCAGATGTATGATACAGTGTAGAGCAATGCACTTTAATATAAATGTCTTATGTGAGTCTGAACATATTTATAAGCAAGTTTTAGTTGAGCCATGCTTACAGACCTTTCTGGCTTTTTGCTAACAAGCATCCCGGCCTATTTAACTGGGGTGAAGAATGATGCTGTTTATGACATGCCAGTCAACACAACTTCGAAATTGTGTGGCTTCATATATTTGATACGGGAAAAGGCCAAATAGTTTTGTGTGTTATACTTTTGGTGTTCTGTTTGGTTGGAGAACCTGTTTATGATGTCCTGGATGAAACGCATTCTCACTAGGGGTGCACAATAATGGATTTTTACTCATAGGCGATATTTTTATATTCATTTTTTCCCACCTAAGTGCTGAGAACATGTTCTCCTGGAACATATTGAGCTAGTTTTTTATCGCGATGACTCACTGGCAGATGATGTCAAAACATTTCAAATGTACGCACTGGGCATAATTAAACAGCTTCAACTTACATGTAGAACATGCTATATTTATTTTTAAAGCAGGACTTTTACATTCTAATGAATGCCTCTTTCATTCAAGTCCTTGCCAAATGAATTCACACTAGACTGATTAAGCCCGTCAACTTCAGGTAAATCTCCTGACGTTCCAGCACTGGTTCACTAGTAGGGAGCGCTTTACATCAACCAGCGATTATTGGTTTGCCAGAGCTGTGTTCTTGTTGGAAGCACCAAAGAAGCATCTGTAAAAAAGTGTCTGATGCTTCAGATAAAAATGAAACTGGAGTCAGGATAAAGGTTACAGTCTTTAAAAATAGACAAAGATCAAGGGTTAGAAGTGCATCATAGGATGTCATCAGTATTTGTCTATTTACTGAGTGCCAGAAGGGGGAGACAAAGATCTGCACCTCAGGTTAAAGCAACATTTTCAACTAAAAATGTAAACTTTCAGCTCGGCACGTATTATCTGCTGGTCAGTGTTTGTTTGGATTTCTTTTTAACACCTTTCTTGGCCGATATAGATGATGATTCTGGCATCACTGTACATCTCTAATTATCGCAGTTCTCGCTAGAATGCTTCATTTGGAATAAAATCAGCAAAACAGCAGCGTCTCTTGATTATGTTTACAACCTAGAAACCAGGACGTGACCAGCACATTTAAACCTGATACTGAAGAAGTGCATTTATGTCCGACACTGTACCATAATAAAAGATATGTGAGAGTCACTGTAGTGTTTAACCAGATCAAAGTGAAGTAGTTATTGGTTGAATATTCTCTGTGTTAAATGCCGATAAACTAATCAGTTTTCTAAACTGTATGATAAGCTGCTGTACCTGCAGATGTAGCAGAAAATCAGGGCCAGTCCTAAAACCGTATTTATGCACGGCAACATGATGCATATGTTTTCGGTCCATACCTGCATAGCTTTGTTCGCTACCTCCTCCAGAGCTGGTTAGCTGTGCAGTATCAGCTGCCATGCTGATCCAGCAGGTTAAACGAGAGCCCCCTTTGTGACATTAAAAGCTCTGGCTTTAGGCTCAACATACCTCCAATAACCCATTAATCTCACTTCATGGTGCACCTTTCAGAATCTGCAGCTTCGAGGTGGAAATGCTCCGCCAGTGTTGACTGCTTCTTTTGCTGAACACGTGTCTTTCAGCGTATAAAACCTGAGGGGTTTTTATTGATGAAATTTTGTGTGAACTATCCCTTTAATCACTGAGCAGCGGCGGCCACACTGTTCTCTCAGCTGCTTGGAGGATTCTCTGCACTGTGGTCTCATTAAACCCTGTGTCATTGTAGGGAAAGTGTCAAAGACGCTGAGTGGAGGGCCGGTTCTCTAGAGTCAGAGCGGGGCTGTGTTTTTGTGGACAGGAGCCAGTGCTGCTTATGAAGTACTCATATTAATGCTCGGCCTGTTCAATTCACTCTACAGTCCTGTGCAAATGTTTGGTGAACAGTGCTGCATCTCTGTCAGCTTTGTTCTGACTCTACCATGCAGCCTCTGAGTGCTTTTGCACAGGTACAGGCTGAGCGATGTGACCCCAGGGAGCCCGAATACGTGGAACTTATCAGCACGGGTCTCCGCTGAATAATGCAAGCTGTTAAAGTAATCCTGTCTGTACAGATAGTAGGGCAACCTGTCCCTGCCCAGCCATCCAGAAGGCAGAGGTGTGCTGGTGTCAGTGAAGGCCTCATGACACATGCTGTGCAGACTGCAGGCCACGTGTGCAGCCACCACACCTCTCTACACCCAACAGTGTTTTTGTGCGTCTCTGGAGTCATGAGTCTTTGCAGTGAAGAAGCTGTTTTTGTTTACCTGACATCCATTTTCAGTTCTCCTGCTGCTGTGTTGGATGTTGTCAAAACAGGCTGCACTACCAAGAACAAAAGACAGAATCCATGCATGTCAGCTGTAATATCCCCACAGCCTCATTTCGCCTGCTCAGCCAAACAGTCAAGACAACGATTGCTCTTATATTGACGCATACACAAACAAACACAATCTAACGTCGGACTTGAGTAAGCTTCAAGTGATTTGTTGTTTTGCTACTTAAGTCTCATTGATTTCTAAGCCATTACAAATTCATGCACACTTTGTTTTTTTTTTGTTTTTTTTTTCCACGCAAGTTGCTGACTCCACAGTAAGTGCGTTTGCCTGGAACCATGTTGTTGGGAGAATATTTCAGGAGGACGTCTTCCTCAGGAAAACTTTGATTCCTCACCACTAACAGTAGCTCTGACTTGTTGGTCTTCTCTGTTTTTTGATGGAGAAAGCGTTTGAAAGTTGAAGCCTCGTGGAGTTTAAGCATCACATGTATTATTCAACAAAGAAAAAAAAAAACTATCTTCTTGAGTTTTGTAGAATAATTCCTCAAAAATATTTTACCACCCAGATTTTTTTTTTTGCTTTATATAATTGTTGTTTTGAATGTCGTTGCTTAACCTTACTGTTCCCAATTAAGAGCAAACAAAGACTTTGTTTTTGGAAAATACTGGATATTTTATTTAAGCATACACAAGTAAGCATACACCATATTCTCCATAAATGAAGTTGTGTAACCTTGTGCATAATAGTTAAACCATGCTAGCCCTCATTAAGCAATGACTGCTGTACACTTCATACGATGAATATAAACAAGATGACACTAATAAAGCAGTTCATTTCTCTAAACCATGCTTCTTCGGAGCTCATTCCTATATTTCAAGAGCCCCAAAATGAAATAGTCGAACTTCTCTGCATCATCGCAACGTTACAGTTCAGTTTCCAGGCATGTTTCTAGACTAATACAAAATACACACTGTGTAAGTTGTTTGGAAAAACCCAGTGTCTCATTACTGACCTGGTGTCTTGTCACAAAATAGTCCATTACTGCAACCAAGCATGTTTTTCAGGCATCGTATCGTACATACAGTAGCATGAGAAAATGTCTTGGGCCTGTCACACTGAAACAAAGTCCTCAGTGAGATGTTAAGAGTGGTTTGACACCACAGGGCTCAAGTGGAATGTTGAGTTCTTACAGTCGTCACCATTTGTCGAGTGCGATTAAGGAAACAGATTTGTCATCTGCCTGTGACAGGTGTATACTTAACCTGCTCTAACAGGACGCATCGAGCAGCAGTGGCTGGATGTCCTTACGCTTACCAGCAGCTTGAATCCAAACCATCAGTTTGTTTCTGTAGCAGTAGGGACAGTCCACGTATGGCTGACTGAACAAACTGCACCACCAGTTATGAGATGATCAGACTAATTAGATACCCAGATGTCTTCCACTAATTCACCCGACGTGTAAGACCGCTGCGTAGTTGTTAAACACGGTCAAACCCACTTGCATGTAAAATCAAGTGATGTTCCTCAGCTTTTTTACCATCAAACTGAGGCCGCTGGATTCTCACGTCTGTGTGGGAGAGCTCACGCAAACACACTGCTGAAGCTGCAACCCTTAAAGGAATAACTCAACACTTTTGGAAATTCACTCTACGGCTTTCTTAGCCGTTGTAGTCCGATAAGAAGACTGATAGCACTCTCATGCACAGTGTTTGTCCTGCATAGATCCATTTTCATCAGCCCCCCAGGGGACTTTAAAGGAAAATCATCAGAGCTAAAATTGTAAGAAAATATTTTTAACCAACCTGTTAAGTGAGCTTCCATTTACTCAACTGGACATTTTTGTTTACTAAGTAGAAGAGGAAAAGAAATAAATATCTGTCAAATAAGGTAACATAGACTGATATTAGTCACCTCCAAAACTGCCATTTTCATTTATGTTGCTTGAGCCAGAAGCAGATTAATGCAGCAGCTAGCCTGACTGGATGCAAAATGTCATTTTCAGCCTTTATGCGAAAAGAAGCTGACTGTAGGCTGCTGCCTGTAGCTTCATATTTACTTAACAGATATGAGAGAGGCTCTGATCTTCTCATCTAAATGCGAAAAAAGAGATTCTGTGTGTTTTTCAAAATGTTGAACTATTCCTTTAACAGTTGAGTTGGACGACAACCTGCCTCAAAAGTGATGCTCGCAATAGCCCTACGTTTAAACCACTATGAGGGAATACAATATTTACAT